ACGAACAAACCTAACACACCACTAAATGCAGTAAACTACCACCGTTATCATTCTCTAGCGATGGTGGTGGTACAGATTCATCCTACCCATCACCGCCACTGCCATCGCCACCACACCACAACCACTACCAACACCAACACCAACACCACCACCAACAACACTGCTACCATCATATCCATCGTCAACAAAAATCATCCCAACACCTAAACATGAAAACCACCACCACTCATAAAACCATCAAACCCAAAACACCATAAAATGCAGCAAACTACCACCATCATCATTCTCTACTAGCGGCACTCAAAACTCATCATCGGAGACGATGCAATCTCTTCTCTTTTCATCAGCGATACAGATTAGAGAAAAGCTATAGCCGCGCATTGCGGCATCATTGATCTTAGACGCCAACATTGCAGCTTCCTTACTTTCAGTGAGATGACGGTGCAAATCTTCTCCAATGGGTGGCAGTGTGATCTCCAGCGGGAGCGATGGTGGCACTCAAATCTCAAATTTCCAGCAATCTAGCAATTTACAGTGGCTTCAGCCCGAGACTCGGCGGTGGTCTCCGACAATGGGTATGATGGTTTTGGGGATGTGGGTTAGGTAGAGAACGTAAGAAGAGAAAAAGATGGGGAGAAATGAATTTTAGGGTTTGGAATTAAACTGGAGATAGGTTTTATATTATTATTAATAATATCAATCGTTAAATTAACACCTGATTTATGATTAAATAAACTTAGTATTTGATTTTTGAACTATAATCTTGAAAAACTTGGTCAAATGTAATGTCCAAAAAGAGAAATTGGAGGAAAATGATGTTTTGGATATTATTTTTGGGAGAATGTATGGTTAAAATTTTTTTTAAAAAAATTTGGATTTACATGCAAAATATTTTATTGTGTGAATGTATGGCTAAAAATGAGTATCAGGAATAAAGAATTTTGTTTTAATGAGAGTTAAACATGGACTAAATATAGAACGACGGGACTCTAATTTGACATTTATTTCAATGTGTTCAAATAATTTAACATTTGCTTGTGGGAGTTTGAGAGTTTGATTAGGAGTTCGAGAGTTTGATGAGTATTTGACTCTTGAAGAGAATACTGCTATTCTTATGTAAGGAATTACATAATAGTTTATATATGGATAAGGTGTCAAAAAGAGTGTGGAAGTTTTTTTTTTATTTGGTTAAAAAAATTATGACACAATCATATTTCACCACATCATGAATATGTAAAACTATTATACACGTGTAACACAAACGTCTCAAAGATAAGTTAAGTTTGAAATCACAATAAATGATGCTTTTTCCCCGTCTAAGACTTGAGGATTTGATATGAGGAAAGATTAGAATTCTTAGCAAAAAATTAAGAACGCATGCGGTTTTGGTTATACGAGCTTATAAAGAGGAATATGCTGGAGTAAATTTATCCTAATTTAGTTGAACAACTTGATTTATAAACTTAATTAAAATTCTATATTTGATACGTCTACTCATGTACATAGACCAAATATATTTGTCCATTCGGTACACATTTTCATAAATGTCTGATGACAACTTTATTTCATGACATTTGTATGTTTTGATAAGATATTGAAGTAATTCATCTAAAAACTTAAATGAAAATTTATTTTCGAGAAATCTAGATGGTTATCGTCAAGAGATGTGCCTAACATGCTATTAGCATAGGTTTGCACAATGAATAATATCACCTTAAATTGTTGACTATCGATTCTATTCAAGAATAAAATCGTGAGTGCTTTCTTTTCGTAGGGTTGCATCACTAGAGTTAATGTTACCTTACGAATTACTTAATTAATTAATTGAATCTCAGAGTTAGGTAAAACCAAGGAACTGTACACATTATAGAAACATTTTTGTTGAACCATATTATCAAAAAATCAATAAAACTATAGGCATTATTCACATGTTTTTATTAAACCACATTACTACGAAGTGTGTGAAGATCATCGTATGACTAGATAAAGAGAAAAATCATCGTTTTTATTATACTTGCCCTTAATATAATGAGATGGCAAGGTCTAAAATCAAAATATCTACACTTAGAATCTAGTTTATCTTAGAGTAATTATTATCTCAACATGAGTGAATTTTACGTCATAAAAAAAGAACACTAGAATAAATTGCATATATGAGAAACACATTCAACCATAACATCATTGAGAGAGAACAAAATTAGTTTGGTTCAAGCCTTGAGCAAGCTTGGCTAAGCTTGAAAAAAAGCAAAGTAACTTTATGTAATTTTTGTCCTCAAACATATATTGGTGGCTTACCTTTTAAGTAAAAATGTTACATTTCTTAAAATAGCTTTTCCTATCGAAATATATAAATATATAACTTACTTATTTCTTACTTAATCAATTAAAAAACTTATTTTTTATGATTGTGCTACTTGTACATAATAAGTCTACATAATGGTTTATATACATATGATGTGGTGAGGTATAATTGAGTTATAATTTTTTCAACCAAACAATTAAAACACAAAAAAAATAATAATAAAAAAAAAATTCATCATGTAACCGTTTATGACACCTCTTTTTGATGTGGTTTATATACACTCTCTTTTTGACACGTCATCTATATGTAAACTATCATGTAATTATTTATGTACAAATAACATTATTATTATTTTTAAGCTTAGCAAAAATAATTGTGCTACATGTACATAATGGTTTACATATACATAATGTGGTGAGATATGATTGGGTTAGAATTTCTTCAATCAAATTTAGAACAAAAAAAAAAAAAAAAAATTCTCCACCATCATTTTAACACCTCATATATATGTAACCATTATGTAACTCCTACCTTACTATTGAAATATAAATAACCTACTTATTTCTTACTTTATCAATTAAAACTTATTTTTCAAAGCTTTTTTTTTTTTTTTTAACTACTACATAATAGATTTACATAATTGTTTATGTACACATGATGTGGTGATGTATGATTTAATAAGAATTTCTTCAACTAAATAATAATAAAAAAAATTTCTCACTCTCTTTTTGATATATCATCTATATATAAATCATTATATAATCGTTTATGTACAAGTAACATTATTCTTCTTTTTAAGCTTAGTAGAAAGGGTTGTGTTATATGTACAATAACATTATTCTTAAGCTCAATAAAAATAATTGTGTTAGATGCATATAATGATTTATATACACATGAAGTGAAGAGATATGATTTGTTCAGAATTTCTTCAATCAAATAAAAAAAATAAAAAATCACCACGCTCTTTTTGACACCTCATCTATATATAACTCTTTTGTAACTTCGTTACATCCTAGTAGCATTATTCTATCAAAAAAGCTGAAAGACCATATTGGAATAGCATCCCAAATTCAATGGGTACAGTTCAAAGTCATTTCCAATCACCAAAAAGCACCCCCTGCATTACAAAGGTAACTTACCGTCTCTCTTGTCAGTTTTAGGTTTTAGTAATATTACTTTTACTAAAATAACAGACTAAATTTCGAAGATGTAATGTTACTTATAATCAATATTTATTTCTTCAAATGTGTTCGAATAACAACGTACTTTTTTTATTTTTTATTTTTGGATTTGAGTAAGAAATAGTACTTTTTACTTAGAAATAAACTTTTAAGCTTAAGCCAACATGCTAGCTCTATGTAAATAAGTTCAATAAAATACAAAATGATTACATAGTGCATTATCTTATTTAAAAGTTCAAAGTTAATAAAGTTCATGGCTTTTCACCAGGCCCCATTGATTATGGTAGATGCGTTCATCTTCGACAAAAAAAGGCTCAATCACCGAGTTATTATGCACTCTTTCGAGGGTAACCACTAGTCCATTGTTCCATTAAGTGTACTAATGGGAAACCTCTTCAGCTTTTTGTTGATTGAGAACTAGAGTTCATTTTGACTTATATGTCGAGGACAGTATTTCTATTCTTTCGGAAATAAATGGTGAATAATTTCATTACATGAAACATGTGTATAGAACTCATAACGTTGAGATTGACTCTTCATCTTATCGAAGCAACTTGGATGAAATGGTCAAGTTTGTACCTTAACATGAGTGGAGAAAGCATCAACTTTAAACTTGACACCCGACAACGCAATTGGGAGGTTTGGCTTAGTTCCTTTTGAATGTCATTTAACCAAACAGTGCCCATTAAGATTGCACTACGCAAAACATGTCAACATCTATTCCATTTTCCCCACCCAAAGAGAGAAAAACAAATAACAAAATATTACAAATTAATGTATTGTTTTTTCATCTTTCTCTAATTTATTTTATTTTAATTATATTATTTATAATTTCTTAGTTGCAAAAGTGACTTATTAATACCCTTGTTAAATTTCTACCTTACTTTTCGCCTTTTTTTCCTATTTTGAAGCTAATTCCCATGTTGCTTGTTCTCTCCCATCCACGCTAAAACTTGGAAGCATCTTAGAGATTCCTAAGCTACTAAACGATTTGGAGACTCCGGAGTGGCCGTGCACATGACACGGGATAGAGGGTGTAGTGATTGGGATACCCGGGGATGAAAGGAACGTATAGGAAGCGGGCAAATGGAATACACGTTAGTGGGGTGAGAAAGAAAATGACAAGAGTAAGTCAAATATCGTTTTCATTATGTTTAAATGAAATATGTAATATTATTTTCATAAATAAATAAATAAATAAATTTGTAAATGAACAATTTTCTCGAGACCACTAATTCCAAATTAATCGGACAATAAAATTTTGTAAAACAAAATATTTGTGAAAAAATAAAGATTCGTAACCCACTGAAGAATTGACACATGTACTGTTTAAGATTGATGATGGCTGTCTGATTTTTTTCTGATGGACAATGTAATGAGACAAATCCACCACCACGCTTCCACATCCTTCGTTTCTTTTACGTCAATTGAATTTTTAAGAGCGTGCTTTCACGCGCAAGATCTTGAACGAAATACACGCGTTTATTACGATGGTGAAAACACATGAAAGCTTCGCAATTAGGAAGTAAGGGAAAGAAAAACTCCAACCCTAAGTTTTTGATATCTGATCTGCAAGTGCATATGCCAAATCCTGAGGTTCTTACAGAGAACCCAAAATCTAGAACAAGACGAAAACAATTTATTCAATTTTCAAATAAGCCCACAATTTACCCACATATATACATTCAGATCTTCTGTCTAATCTTTTCTGGTTTCTCTCTTTTCAAGACTTTCAAGATTTAAACTTTTTAGGTTAACAAAAAAATTGGGTGCAGAGTGAGAGAAAGAGGGCCAACAGAAGAAAGGTGGTTAAAGACTCAACTATATACACATACTTATATAGATATAGATAAAGGTGGAAAGAGAGATCATGGGTAGGGGGAGAGTGGAGTTGAGGAGGATTGAGAACAAGATTAACCGGCAGGTGACATTTGCGAAACGAAGAAATGGGTTGCTCAAGAAAGCCTATGAACTCTCTGTTCTGTGTGACGCCGAAGTTGCTCTTATCATCTTTTCTAACCGTGGGAAGCTCTATGAGTTCTGCAGCACCTCCAAGTATTATTATTATTATCTTTTATCTTAACCCTAATATTAGTTTGATATGTTTCTACATGTATTTTCTTCATAGATTTGTTGATTTCTTTCTTTGATTTTGTTTCAAGATTTCATTTTTCTCTTGTTTTCTTGGTCAGATTGATCTGCAAATCTTTCATTTATCATGTCTATATTTAAATTTTTGAGATAATTCTTAATTATTGAATTTTGCAAAAGGAAAAACATGAGTTTCTTATCTTCTAATTTGGTTCAAATTTTGGGTATTGTGTTAACCTAAAGCTTTTTCTTTCTTTGATTTGTTTTTCTATGGTCTGAAATTGCTTTTAATTACTAATAAGTGACAGGCATTTTTTGTCAATCCAAGATCTGCATATTCTGAGAAATACACATAATGTTTTCATCAGATCCTTTCTTTTACCTAGTTTCAAGCCTGATCCATCTTCCTTTTAGGTTTTTCATTTTGAAAAGATGTTACATGTGTTGTTTTCAAGATTATTAAGCCTATTTTTTCTTTTAAATTTAAAAAAAAAATGACGTTTGTCTATCTAAGGTTTCTACAAAGCTAAATTCTTTTCACTTAGTTGAAGATCTTATTTATTAAAAAACTCTCAGGTTTCAGTCTGATTGTGACAAAAACTGATATCAGAGTTTAGATCAGATAGGGCATCATAATTTCGTTATATATCTTGACATGACAGGATTTCAGAGTACTTCAATTTTTGTTTGAAATCGAACAACTAATAAACTTGACCTTTGTTTAATTCTTGAAATATTCTTGAATTTTATTAATTAAAGAAATGAAGGTTTTGTTTCTAATCTCTCACCAGGTAAATCTTATATTTTTTTATTTTTTATTTTTTCAAATTTTCAGCTTATATTTAAAATGATCAGTAAGTGTGAGGTAGGATTCTTTTATGTGAACACATTAGTATTCAAATGATAGGCATATGCGTGCATTAAATTCGGTTTTTATTTTTCGATTCCTTGATTGATTTGATATGCTAAATAGCATAAATCGAGCACGAAAATTTCTAAAACTTTGGATATGTTAAGAATCCATTTGGTTCCCCAGACATGGCATCATAAACATCTATTAAAATGTATTGAAATAATTTTAATTGTAAATTTTTTACAAATTTGACATTGGGAAATGTAAAGAAAAGTTGGATTATCAATAGCTTCATATGAATGAAGAAGAAACTGTAACGTTGTGGTTATTATACGACATGACATATTGCAAAGTGCAAACTAAGGCTTCAAGAACAGCCAAAGATCTTGGAGTATTCCACATCACACCACTCTTAGTAAATGGATTTAAACGTCCATTAATCCTTTAACTTTGGTGAATCCTTATCTTTTTCATTAATGTTGCTGTTTTGGATATTTCTCTAGTCAATGCCTTAAAAACTACTGCAATATTCTTAAAGGATTTATTTTCGTTTTCGTTGATATGGTTGTTTTGTATATTTCTCTTATCAATGCCTTCAATGCTTGTACTACTGCAATATTGTCAAATGATGTTAGGGTCAATAAAAAGTTCAGCATTATAACTCCTATTATCATGGGTGCACTATGAAAAAAAAAAAAAAAAAGGATAAAAATTGACATTGTCTTCCTTATATGGGCTAAGTTTAAGTCAATTAGAGTCGAAATAGTTCAATTAATTAGGAACTATTTATTTGCCATGTTTTCAAGATATGGAAATATTTCCATGTGGAACTTGACTTTTAAAATTCTTTGTATTAACACTTTAAATTTGTTCTTAACCTAAACTTAATCAATATTAATCCATTGTAACCAAGCCATTATTTGGCATCTTTGTTTGCATAAAGGGGATAAATTTAACCTTTGCGTTTTCATATGATGTTTTACATATATTGTTTAATATTTTCACATTTCAATTTTACCGTTGTCATAGTCATGCTAATTACTAACTAATGGATTCTTTTTCTGTCTTATCGTTACAGCATGCTCCAAACACTTGAAAGGTATCAGAAGTGCAGTTATGGTTCTCTGGAAGTCAACAGTTCAACCCAAGGTCTTGAGGTATAATAATTATGTAATTCTTTTTCTTTTTTTTTTTAAATCTAACAGAATAATTATGTAATTCTTTTTCTTTTTTTTTTTTAAATCTAACAGAATAATTATGTAATTCTATTTCAATCTTATCTTAATTGTGAAAATAGAGCAAAAAATGTATTTACATAGAAAATGAAAATATTGTTTCCATTAAAAAGAAACGGCTAATGATTTCAGAAGTATACATCTTGGAAATCTGAACCACTGTCAATTTCTTGGATGCATTTGAAAGCCTCGGGATTACTTGCAAAAGAAATTTTGTCTTAGTTTATCTTGTGTCTTGAAATAAAGGGTGAAGTGCAGTTATGGTTCTCTGGAAGTCAACAGTTCAACCCAAGGTCTTGAGGTATAATAATTATGTAATTCTTTTTCTTTTTTTTTTTTAAATCTAACAGAATAATTATGTAATTCTTTTTCTTTTTTTTTTAAATCTAACAGAATAATTATGTAATTCTATTTCAATCTTATCTTAATTGTGAAAATAGAGCAAAAAATGTATTTACATAGAAAATGAAAATATTGTTTCCATTAAAAAGAAACGGCTAATGATTTCAGAAGTATACATCTTGGAAATCTGAACCACTGTCAATTTCTTGGATGCATTTGAAAGCCTCGGGATTACTTGCAAAAGAAATTTTGTCTTAGTTTATCTTGTGTCTTGAAATAAAGGGTATACGGTAGACTATTTTATCTTTGGCAGCTTGTATGTGCATGTTTGGCTTTTTTTTTTCTTTTTTTAATCAAAATAATAAAGTTCATTTTCTTTGAGAAGAAGTAAACATTATTAAAACAAATTTGTAAACAAAAAAATTACCTTTTTTAATCTTGGCCAAATATGTTCTCTGAGAGTTGTTGAATTGGTGAGATTATTTGTTATTTATGGCGCCTAAGCAGCATGATGATGCTCATCTAGGTTGGTTTTGTTATGATCTTTTTGTAGGAAAGCAGCTATAGGGAATATTCAAACCTGAAATCTAAATATGAGTCACTACAACGATATCAAAGGTAAATAACTTTATCTCTTTTGAATCACCTCATCTTAAAGTATAAACTTTTAAGATGAAGTGGTTCAATGTAGCGTTGGAGTTGTGTTTCTAAAGCACGAGCACACATAAAAACATGTTTTCTTAGCTTTGATACTATATTTAATTACTTTATTTCTTAAATGATGTGGTTCAACAACTATATTTTCTCGTGTTAAACTGACATAAATTTTGCAAATTTCAAGCCCCTGTTTGGTTCCCATTTTTTTCAAATTTTAATGTTTGGAATAATGTTTTTTTTAAGAATGTGTGATTGAAAAAGAATAAAAAAATTTCGATTTACGTGTAATAATATTTTATGGAAGATTGTGCGGTTAAAAATAATAGAGAGAAAAAAATGAAAGAGAATGGGGGCCAAACGGGATGCAAGTTTGCTTGAGGTAAGAATTTATATGTGCAACAAGCGGGTTTTTTTCTTGAACTCTAAACTGTTACAGACATCTCCTTGGAGACGAGTTGGGACCTCTAAATATCAATGATCTTGAGCATCTGGAGCATCAACTAGAGACATCCCTCAAGCATATTAGATCCACTAGGGTAAGCAAACTTCCATATATGCCTGTGTGTATTACCAGCTTATTATATGGTTGAGTACTTGTCAATTTCTGAGTTTTGATTCTACCATTACAATATGATTGTTGTGGTATTTATGTTTTTTTCTTTCTTTATTTCAAGGTGAACAGTATAGTACTAGACTAAATTAAAGAAAAAAATTAAAATTTCTCTCTTTATAGTGGCCAACAGTGCCTTCCATTGGATAGCAAGCATATAATAAAGTTATCTTTAGAGAAAATAAGTTTTATTTATTGTCTCAAAGGCATGAACACATGTATATTATGTTAAAAATTGAGAGAAATAGCAAGTGTTCAAAATTTATTATTTTTTAATAATGTTCGAAGATCTAAAGGAAACCTTGAATGAAAAAAAATGGAATTAAGTAGGAATAAACTTAAAGAGTGGGCTTTAATATTTAGGATTTTTTGCCAATGATATTATACATAAAAAATTTTAAAGGCATAATGCAAGGGGTAAAAAGTCCAGTTTGATGGATCATGTTAGTTTTGATGAATGATTATATAAATATATCCATAAACATTTTTTTTTTTTTTTGGAATGAAAGTTATAATAACATTTGGTGGCTTAAGTTTTCAAAAATAATGTTTCCACATGCATGTAACCTAGTTTTGCATGGATATGATATTGATCAACTTTTTCACTAATTTTATACTTATTTGCAGACTCAGGTTATGCTCGATCAACTTTCTGACCTTCAAGCAAAGGTATCCGCGCTTAGTTTCAACAAAGGATTATTCTACTTGACATTATGGTGTCCATTATGTACTCCAAGTATTGTCCTTCAATAGATATCCTCATTAATTCCATGTCTACTATGGCTAACAAGCTTTGTCTTTTTTACAGGAAAAGATGATGGTTGAGAATAATAAAGCTCTGGAGAGGAAGGTTAGTGAACTTGTAGAATTTCTCCACTACACTAATAGGGAAGCTTTGACAGCCTACCTGACCGAATACTCACAATAGGGGCCGGGCCCACTTTTTTTTTTTTTGTATTTTTTATTCATGCTGGTGGTCCCACGCATGTGTGAGTTTGTCACCCATTTTCAGTCACTTTAGCTTAATTCAAAATGAATAGAGAAGGGAATAAAATAAATGCAGCTTAATTCCATGTGGAATTCAAATTGAGCATATGCTTGGTACAATTTTGCTTTAAATTCATTTTCAACCACACTTTCTTCAAATAAAAGAAATTTGAAAGTCAGCACTAAGCACATAATTTTTTATTACTTTTTAAGTACATAGCCTTCAAATAATAATAATAATAATAATAATAATTTTTGACAAATTTATTCTGAAAAATGGGGAAGTAATTAAGGTACTATAAAGGAGTGCCAAATATAGGGAAAAAAGCATGAAAGAAAATAATAGAGACAACCTCCAACTAGGAAAGGGAAAGAGGCCTGAGGAGGGAAAATATATATTTTTCGTCACAACTTTTGTCTGATAGATACTTTAGCAAGATTGGATTTCTTTCGAAACACTGTTATTTTATGGTGGAAGATTGATTTGGTGTCAAAACCGTGTAAATACTAAAAGCCTGTTTGGGAGTGATTTTGAGAATTGATTTTTTGACCGTTAAGAGAAAAGTGGGGTCCACTTGTGAGAGATGAAGCCAAATATAATGGCTGAAATAGTGAAATAATGGTCAAAAAATCAATTTTTTTTGGGGGGGGGGGGATCACTCCCAAACAAGCTCTAAATATTGTGTCCACCATATCGTTGAATTACAGGGAAGATTTACTTGTTTATTCCAATAGAACTAAATAATACTCTGCTATTCTTTCTTCATTATATATTTGCTTACAAATTGATCAAACTTATAATTGGCCAGGTTCTGAGTTTTTTTTTTTTTTTTTTTTTTTTTTTTTTTTTTTTTCCCCTTTTTTTCCACAAATATTCAAAATTTTTTTGTTTTTTTGGNNNAAAATTGGACAGGTTTTTGTTTTTTTTTTTTTTTTTTTTTTTTTCGATTTCTTATCGTCGCATACCTTACACGAAATATGAAGATTTTTAGGATTTCTAGGTTACAGTTTTCTGGAGTAAATATAACTCGGAAGAGAGGAAGAGAAAATAAATCTTCGTTATGAATGAAATTTCGTCTTACAATCTTAAAGACCTCCAAGAATTTTTAAACCATAACATTAGTCGTTTGAGGGACAATTCATTTATTTATTTAAATTTAGTTCTCATCAATTTGATGCTGTTATATTTGTTATGCTTCTCAGCTTGAAGAAATTTACGCTACAAATCACATGCAGCAGCAAACCTGGGGTGGTGGTGACCAAAACTGTGCATATGGCCAGCAGCATCCTCAATCCCAGGCCTTTTTCCAACCTTTGGAATGCAATTCTACTTTGCAAATTGGGTAATTTTTCTAAATCTTTTCCCAGATACAAACTGCTCAAAACTCCCTTGGCATCGTAAACTAGTTCACTAAATTTTGTTGAGCTGTTTATTATTCAAACTGAGTTTTGCACATGTTCGATCAAATGAATATTAATCCTTACTCAAGATGGTTAAGAAACCAAAAAACAAAAATCATAGAAGTTGTACTGAAGCATGACCCTAGCTCCTTCTTTTTAGATTATGTAATTAATAAGTCTTGCTTATTACCAACGTACTTTGTAATTGTGCTTGTCGTATATCATAGAAGCTGAATTTAATTAGCTTCTTTTATCATGCACCTTGTGGCTTGAAAGGGGTTTTGCTTGTTCGGAATGAACACACAGAGACTCGACCTCGCTCATAATAGAGTGGCCACTTTTTTAAGAATCCAAGTTTAAACAAAAAGTAAAAGTACTTTTTTTAAAAAAAAAAAGCTTAAATTACTTATTTTCTGACTTCTTATACTGATACAGATACAATAATCCTGGATGTTCAAGCCAAATGACTGGTATCAATACAGAGGTCCAGAATGTGAATGGATTGCTCCCAGGTTGGATGCTCTAAATTTCTGGTGCAGACTTTCACCAGCAATTATCCTAAATTCCTAAAAATAATATAATGCAATTGTAAGACTTCATTTTGGAGTACTGTTAAACATTTACTCGTTGACTTAAACGAAATCGAGTGTATCTACAACTTGTTAGAAATGCACATGATCTTTCTGTTTGTTCTGTGTGGCAGTTAATATTATTTGCTCACATTTTAGCCCGGTTTGAGTTACATTTTTTATAATGCATTTTCGCCATACTCATTTTCAATCAAATAGTTTCTCAATAAAATGATTTTTGATCGTACCTAAAACGCTTTTCGCCATTTTTTATCAAGTCTGATTAATGCTTTGTTCAAATGAATAGTAAATAGCTTTATTATATATTTTTTTTCCCCTAATGAAAAATTGGGATTGATAAACTGGTAATAATCTTGCTGAGTTGAAGATAATACTTCTGTCGGTGGCACAAAATTCTCCAACTTTCAATATTTTAGATTACAAGGATGTAAATTATATTTCTAAATTTAAAATCTGTTTTGAACGAGTGATCTCCTCAAAACAGTGCGGATTTGGAAAAGCGGATTTCGATCTATGAGTAAACTGCTTGAAAATGTTCTGCAGGGAAAAAGTTACTTGTAAGCCTACCATCTTAATTTTCCTTATTCTGATCTCTATGCAATGTTCAAAAAGTATAAATTGGTGAGCATGATAAAAGTTAGAATTTTATTATTTTATTATTTTTTATTATTATTAATTTTTTAACAATACTTAGTACGAAATGTTATATGATTGTAACAATTTCAGATAGTGGAAAGCTTTGAATGTATGCAAATATTTATTTTTCTCATCATTTTTCTTCTGAACAAGAATTCTGTAGCCATTTGTAATTCTTCGTAAACAGTGACTTAATTATCTGAACAAATCATGCTACAAATACATTGATTTTGACATTAAATTTTACATTGTGCCACGTGACGATATCGCATTGGATAGTTTTTGAAAAAAACACACTTTTTCACCAACTCCATTTTTAAAAACATTTGAAAACAATAGAGTGTCCAACTCCATATCAAGCAAATAATGTACAAGAAGCTTATTCTTATCTGAACATATTCATCACATTCAATGGCTCCATATTTTATTGCTGATAAGCCCAATGGCTTATGTATAGCTTACTGGGTTCTAAATTATTCTCAAGTGATGATGATGATGAAGAAGATACGTGGACTTGTTGCTGGGCCTGAAGATTGGTGGAAAACCCATTCCATATTCCAGGGGACTTCTGTATCATGGATTATTGGGCTGGGCTGTGAGAAAAGACCATAGAGTTTAAATTACATCCAAGCCTGGATTTTAACTTTTCAATTCAAAATTCAGATTCAAAAGTTTTTATTTTTTATTTTTCCCTCAAAAATCAGGTAATAATTTAACTCTTTAATATTAGTAATAATATTAAAAAAATTAAATTAATCCCCCACCTCCCCTCCACGCACCCCCACAAACCCTAATTCTTTTTTCCAATAAATAAAAATAAAAATTCCTATCCTTCTTAATTCCCCCTCCAAAAACTCTTCTTGACGGAGCACTGACACCCTCGATGACAGGCACAGCACCAACGTTCGTGAGTGCGGCGAGAGGGTAGTAATGGCGACGTGTGTCCATCGTAGTTGTTTATTGCGTTGGCTCGACAAGCTGTGGTGGTACACCATGCCACTGCACACGAAGCGGCGACAACACCCATCGAGTTTTGCATTGGTGTTTCTTTGTGTTTCTATGTTTGAATTTTTATGTCTTTTTGTTTCTGAGAGTAGCGGCAATGGGCGTGCATCGCCACTACTTACGAGTTTTACGTTGGTGTTTCGTTGTGTTTTTGGGTTTGAATTGTAACTCAGTTTTGTTTTGTGTTTCTCTGGTTGCCATCTCATTCTCTTCTTCTGTTTGGTGTGGTATTGATGGTTGTAGTGTGATAGAGGCGAAGGAGATGGTAGATTTGAGGTGGTGGTGGCGCTAGCTATAGTGCTGGTGGTTGTGTTCAAGGCGACGACAGTGGCAACGATGCGATAGTTGTGGTGGTGGGGTGGAAAGAAGAGTGTGACCAGTTATTTGGTTAATTGTGATCAATGAATTGATTGATTTGTGATCAATAAATAATTTGTGACCTAAAGAACGTGATTGTGACTAAATTTGAATTCATGACTCTGAATTTGGTAAATTGTGACCAACTTATTCGATAATTTATAACTAAAAAATAATTTGAAACAAATTCATTTGATAATTTGTGATTGCGAAATAAGTTGTAATTTATAAAATTTGTGATTTGCGACCTATAAATTTTTTTATTTGTATGACCTATAAATTTTTTTATTCGTGATCGAAAAGTAATTTGTGACCAATTAATTTGATAATTTGTAACCGAAAAATAATTTGTGACAAATAGGTTCGATACTTTGTGACCGAATTGTATAATATTGTGACCTTAAATATCCAATTAATAAATTTTTTAATTATTTATTTAATTACTAAAATTTAATTATCATTTGATTTTTGAAGTTTTAAATTTTATTTCTTAATTTTAAAATTGCATAATGTAATCACCTTAAATATGAGTTTTTCCCTTTTATTAGTCTAATGAGTTTTATTATTAGAGTATCATTTTACCGAGGCTCCGTTTGATCCCATTTTTTGTGAAATATAAATTTTATAATAGTAATTTTTCAAAACACGCGTGATTAAAGCGTAAGTAAATTTTTTGAATTTACATATAAAATTATTTTATTGAGAGAATATAATTGAAAATGGGTTTGAAAATAAAAAAAAATAGAAAATATAGTTGAAACAGGGGCTTACTTTTTGCCAAATTCTCAATATTGAGTATTGAGTTCAACGTTAAAAATAAAATCTTATTAATAAAAATAATAAAACTATTTATACACCGGTTAATATTTCAGTATTTATTCGGAATTGAACAATTAATCCAAATTGCATGATGTGGCGTGGATGATTTAAATTTTAATTTTAATTACATAAATACCACCACTCTTGTCAAATTCGATTGTATTAAGTCTCCCATTCAATTTTAATGGTCGCCAGTTAGAGTTCTTTCATGACCACTAAGGTAAGATGTACCTGACTGTAAACTTCATGGTCCTATGGGATTAATCGAGATGCGTGTGAGTTGGTTCAGACACCTACAGTCATAAAAAAAAAAGTCTTCCATTCAATTTTGCTAATTGTACAAGTGGAGTTCCGGTTGACAATGCCCTCACAGGAGGGGGTCCATGATTTTTTTATTCATCATGGGTCCTTTTTCATATGTGTGGTTGTCAATCTCAATTGTACATGTAGCATGACCCGTCTCCCATTTGCGTAATTAATGTTAATATCAATCTGACGATGTGTCACACAACATTTAATTGGCCATATAAATTAGATTATGATTGATCTTAACAAAGTTATTCCTATTTTCCTATGTTACGTAAAGAATATCTTAAGCACTTTTAAGCTTTCAGCGTTTACACAGGGTATATCATATTTATACTGCAAATATGTACATGATTAAGAAAGAGATGCATGTGATTAAATTCCGTCAATTCGTTGAATACCGCGTTTAAATATTAGTTCAGACCATCGTCCGCCTTTGAATGAATTAGGGTTGTGAGGTACCATGTCGAAGCTAACAACTATTTCACATTGTGTTTCATTAGTCAAATGTACGAATAAAATGTTCAAAATATCTAATAATATTGTTAAATAGAAGTGTTAAGTTGGATTGGAAGGAGAAAAACCTTGTTTGAGCCCCATTCTTTTGGAAAAACACATTTTTCAACAGTATTTTGACATCATTTCAATCACACATTTTTCAATAAAATAATATTACGCGCAAATCCAAAATTTTTCCTTATTTTTTAATCACACATTTTCCATCAATACGCTATTCAAAAATTCATTCTTCCAAAAAAATGGGACTCAAACAAGGGCAAAATCTTAAACGTGTACTGGTAAATACTTGTAAGTAGCCTAGCATATACTACACTGAGGCATTGCCAAAAAGGAAAGCTTGATGAAACTAATATACATCATGGTAATAAAGGACAGTAAAATTACAGAATCCATATTTAGAAAGAAATTTATTTTTTCAAATAATTTTCATAATTAGACAAACCCTAAAATTGCTCAAATGATTCCCGATTTAGCCCATCAAGAAAATATAGTGTAAGTTATAGGAAAAAAGTTGTCTCTGTTAATTTAATAACTAGCCCACTTCCCACGTGAATTTCCTTTTTTAATAAAATAGTAAATGAGAATATGGCCAGAGCTTTGGAAATTTAGGATTTAAGGTACGATGTACGATTTATATAAAAATTTTGCAAAAATCCCTTTTAGGGCAATTTTAGTCCTTTTAACTCATGTGCCAGTGAAGCTTTGCCTTGAATTCTGAGTGATATACATGAATTGCCAACGTTTATTGATAAATTTTAGTCACTGACAACTATCCTTTCAAGTTTTATTTTTTATTTTTAACTCATCTTTGACCACACACTTTCACGTTAAAATATTCTTAACGTAAAATCAAACTTTTTCCTAATTTTAAACCATATATTCTTCAAAATTTTACTATTCAAAAACTCATTATTCCCAAAAAAATGATTGTCAAATAGGGGCTTAATGTAACCTCTGTTTTGTGGCCATTATTTGGGAAAAAACAATATTTTGAATAGTAATTTTTAAGAAAACTAGTCACGAGTGAATATACATTGCACGTTATTTTGAAATATTTTATAAGTGTCGTAAAAATAACTGTACATGAACTTGAAAAAATAATTTACACCGTTTTGATCAAAATATGAGAGAAATGCATGCCCCTGAAAAAATGTTAATTATTATACATGCACGTAAATATTGAAATGAAAAATTGAATATTAAATATATAGTAAAAATGAAAAGAAAAAATGAAAAGCAATGTATTATTAAAATAATTGAATTGCAATAGAGTTAGAATTGTTCAAAAAATGATATATATGTTGTTAAAAAATAGAAAAAAGTTTTGAATTTATAACATGCAGAACTTTTTATTATGTGAATAAGTATGTAAAAAAAGAATTTTCAAAAATTTTAAGTATCAACTTATCCAAAGTGCTTGAAATTAAATTAGGTGAGGTGATCCATCATATCAAAATATGGTAGAGTAGAAATCTGTAGCGTTAAATAAGTTCAAATAATAATCATTATTTGTATAAGCTTATCTAAGCTTCCCTCAAGCTTACTTATAATCTTTTTTTCCTTTCAAAATCTCAAGTCATTTTGTCACTTAAGCACCAAACTATTTATTGAATCAAAATAATGAAAAGAATGAGAAGGTAACTAAAAGGTAAAAGATTAAGTATGCCTATTACCTTCAATTAATAGGGTTCGTAAAATTTTTAGTTTTTTTCCTTTAATTTAATTCATGCATTAAGTTTTATTTTGGTCCCCAGCTTAAAAGCCTTTTATATTGGAATAGATAAGAATTTTAGGACCATTCATTATGTACTATGCACATATTATTTTGTGAATACATTTGTACTATATTCTTATTCTATATAAGAAATATTTCTATATAGCAAAGCACTTGCTAAATGGGACCACCTAGACATAAAAATTATGGTTTAATTTTCTCAACTTGTGCGAAAGATACATGGTCGGACATTTCATTTATATGCTATGAGTTTACAAGGCAGATAAAAAGTAATCTAAGAATAAAACATTGGAGACCTGCATTCAAAGTCATGAAAATATCTTTTCGGGACCAGAGAATAAATGAAAATCTCATTTACCCATGGCAAAATATTTTGCTTTTCCATACAAAAGGATGGACCACGCATATCTTGCTCTCAATATTATCATGGAATTTTTCTCGAGCCACGAAGTTATTTACATTTGTAACTTATGAATTTCTATTTTATTCCTTTGACAAGTCATTATTTCGAATTATTCAAATTATCTCAAATTTCAATTTTCATGTTAGATTTCAACATTTATGATCTACTCCATTGATTTTCAATTTCTCATATTTGCTTCTTGGATGATCATGACTCATATTAGTTATAAATAGGTAGTGATATTGTTAATTAGGAAAGTATATTCTCCTTGGAAATTGTCATGACATGACAAACATTGAAGCTATCTTTAGTACAGAAGACACAAAACTATAAAATGTTAAATACGATGAAGAAACCAAGAATTTAATAAAAAAAATTTAGGAGTATAATTAGGAAGTGTTTATAAATACTTTACATAAAATCATTTTTTGTTCACACATTTAATAGGTATCATAAGTACTGTCCATTTTTTCACTACTCATTTCTATGTGTTTATGTATATTATTGTTTATAAACACTTCCTAAACATCAATAGGCAATACTGGAGTGGGTCCAATGTAATATATGGAAGAATGATAAAAATAATAATAAATTTTATATTATCTATTCTACAATTTTGTACGATCTAATGCAACGGACTAAGAGCTTATTTAAGGGAGATTTTGAAAATTAATTTTTCTCCCAATCATTTTCAACCTTACATATATGTGGTCCATAATTTTTTTCTTACTTTTGAACCATATATTTTCCAAGAAAATCATTTCACTGGAAATTTTTTTTCCAAGACAACCTTTAAATAAGACGACACTTTTTGATTCCGACATCCCACAAAAAAATATTGTATATAATCTCTTTAGTTAACGTCACGTCATTTATATTCATTTATTTCAACATTACATAATTTTGTTGATAGACGATATTACATAATTAAGATACATGTATTCTTTTTTTTTTTTTTTAAATAATCAATATATGTGACATAATTTATTAATGACAAAAAATGGAAAAATAAATAAATAAAGAACTACACATACATAGGATGATGCTCTGCGTATACCTTAGCTCAAGTAGCCAAAAAGGAAAAATATATTAAACTCGCCATGTTGAAAGACTGGAGTATGCTTTGGAATATTAAAAATAAATTTGAGTATTTTTGTTTTTCTTTTTTCAAAAAAAAATGTATTTCTTTAATTGAATTTAGTAAGGTAAATATAAGAATTTTTTAATTCTATATATTTTAAGAGCAGAGCAAATTTCATTTTATATACATTGATTAATTCAATAGGTAATTAATGAAATTTATTAATTTGATTTTCGAAATGAGTCAATTTGTTTGTCAAGTCAATTTAGATTATTCCAAATCTTATTACTTATTTTTTTTCGCACATTTTTTTAAATTCACAGTAGCAAGAGAATCCCTATGAAAATTGCTTTTAACATTTCATGAACTTTAGTCTAAATCCTTGATATCATAACCGAGTAAAGCATTTCTCTAGCTCTGTCCACTTTTGGACTCGCTACTTGATATAGGTTGAATAAATTTAGTATTACACTCCAAGTTCTAGACATTCCTTTTCTAATTATTCATATCCTCATTCGAACAACACAAAAACCTCGATGCAAAAGCATTTTGGTTGTTAAGTTATAGCAACATTGAGCACCATCCAATATGTGCGAGGTCAGTGTACTAAGCCAGATGATGATCTCGATACTACATATCCTCGCGAATGATGTATCCCAAAACATCCTTAGAGTGTTTCTTTGGTTTGAAAGATATAATATAATATTATTCAAATTTTAAACACCAAAATAGTGGGGGCAAAATTCGTTTGAGGACAACAATCAAAAATTGTGTTTGAGCCTTCAAAGTTCTTCATATATCATTTGCCATTTGTTCATCTCCTATACTTCTTTCGATAATTTTTCTATTTGTAATTCGTTCTCATCTTTGGTGGAGTAACATTATTTCCAACAATTAACCTACCATACAGCCAGCTTAGCCAACAAAGAAACTGCGACAATTGGTTTCTGCCATATTCTCTTCCAAGAAAATCAGGTTGGTTCGGTCAGTTCTCATCATTATGCATTTACGAAATCTTCAGAATGAATTACACTGTTTTTTTCTTGGCTATGATGATCTTTCGGAAAACCCGGAAATTTTCACCACCTTTTTAGAATATTCGTCGTGGTCTCACTACCTGAATCTTGAATGCTTCTTCGCAGTTTCCTTTTCTTGTATTCAAGAACAGAATGAAATGATTTTTCCGGGAAATTGGAGTAACAATATTCTATTTAAGATTTGTACGATTTTCTCATTTTTAATATGCATTTTGAAGTTTGACTGCAGGTTGAAAGAATTTTTCATTATAGTTCTTCTTTTTCTTTCTGTGATGATTCTTGGGTTTAAACTTATAATTTATAATTTTGTTTATTTCCCCATTGTATGGGAGAAACACATTTTCCTCTGTATATGTAATTGAGTAAATGTACTTCAATTTCTTTTGTGCCACTTTATTTAATATCATTTAGATGTATGCTGCAGGCTCTTCGATTCTATGGAGAGGTCTGCCAAGAGGCAACTTGATCAAAAATGTGTTACTAGGTTTTCACACTTCCATTTTTTGCTCAAATCTTCATTACCAAATAAATTTTTATTAGATACTCAGCAATCTCTCTTTCAGGAAAAAGCAGAAGTCACGCCATGAACCTCAACAAAATACCGACAGTAATGACGAAATTGCCATAGCCAGAATCCGTGTAGAGGTACAGCGTGTTCATATTCTTCGTAATTTTTCACGTTTGAAAGCTTGAACATTTTAATTTTATGATTTCTCTTTATCAGGTAGAAGAGAAGGTGATGTTTTCGTCGGGCGAGCAAAGTAGAGCTCTGTCACAAGAAGAAACGACAATTCTGCAGAAAAATGCCTTGCAGAGAAAATTGGAGAACATCAGTTCTGTTAGAAACATACTTCTTGAGAATTTTTTTCAAATACCAGTTTTTTCTCGTAAATATTCATTGTTTTTTTAGTCGTTCCGACAGTGTCAAGATGTGGAATTAAGAGCAGAACTGAAGATGTGGAACAATGCTTATCACTGGTGAGAAAATTACTCAGTATAAGTCTATTTTTAGGAGAGATTTGTTAATGGAGTTCTTATCATGTTAAATCTTCAGTGTGTAGAGGTAAGACTGCATGGACTAATAAGCAATTTGATTAAGCTGTCAAAGAAGGTTGGTGTTAATAATTTCCTGTTTATGTTTTGTCATATCGGCTTCTTTGTCTTTGATTCGTATCAAATCTTATTGAATCTTCGACAGAAAAGAAGCCTAATGTTGTCCACAGCAGAAGTTCAGCATTGCGTCATCATCTCTAACCAGGAACTTTGGAAGAAGATGATTACTCGGGATAAAGAGGTAAAAATCAAGAACCTATAGAACTTGTTCAGTTTTTTGATTCATTTCAATGAAGAGTTGAGTTCTTTCTGAGAATAGGGAAGCAATTCACTTCAAGTATATTTATAAATGCAGTCTAGAGGAGAAAAGGCTTCGAACATTCACATGAACAAAGACATAAAATGTGCAGAACCTTCCCTGGTATTTTCGAATATGACTCAGGAAAGAAATTTCATACTTTTTGCTAGATATAAGTCGATATATTGTTTTTTTCTTGTTCTGCATTTTTAGGAAAATAAAATGAAAAGAACTGCGGATGATACACTTCGCTCTGCAAATAGAGCAGCCAGGGCAGCTGCAGGTTGGGACGACATCACATTGAAATGGAAATTTATGGACAAATCAGAATGGAAGAAGCAAGAAGCTAGTAGCAGTAGTAGTAATATTCAACAAGAATCGCCAAGAAAAGGTACAATGCTGACAGATTGTGTAGAGGCGTTTTTTGCTTCTTTTGATGGTCTATGAATAGTTCGACTTTTATTCATTGCAGAGATAATAAATGGTTTAGAGCACAAGATCTCAATCAAGAACATTATTGCATTACTGGAAAGGGAACCTCTTATGTCAAATTCGACACTCAACTATTGCTTATGCAATCGGTAAAATTTCAATTTGCATCAGTTTGAAGAGGTGAAAATTCAAGGTTAGAGGAGAACCGATTTGAGTTTTTCAATTCATTATTATCATCCCTGTCTAGCAATTCAAGCTGCTATCCAGTTTCGTCCTGTTAAAATTTATAGTACTGAGATACATATCAAGTCACTATTCAAAATTCTACTACTCTGTTTCATATGCCCAGCTAGCGAAGAGCGAGGGAAGACCATTCTTTACCAACTTAGCATCCGAAGTCATAAGGCACCAGTCCTTTCAGCTCAGGTCCATTAAGTCCGTTGTGCTTGAAACTGAAATGAATGCCAGAAAGAAGATCAAATACCGAATATGCCTCTACATTTGAAGGACAACTAGGTCCATCTGTGATACTGTGGAGACTGGTGTAGTCGAACATAACAGTAAGGGTATCGTGTTTTTTCTAGTCATTTCAGGGAAAAGAATGTTTTACTTCACTACAGAGACTATCAAAATTAACATCGGAGGCAAAAACATTAAGGTTCGATGTGCTATACACAAATTTTGACATACAAGATGAAAATTTTACTTCAATCCCCCCCCCCTCGCCCGCCCGCCCGAGCCCCATGTTAAAAAAAAAAATTGGAGGTTCACCTTCTAAATTGCTCTTTATCTTGTAGTATGGAAAGAATTATTGAAAGGTACGAAAGGTATTCCTATGCTGAGAAAAGATTAAATATGACAGAAGATGAAACTCAGGTACTTAATTTATCAAATATTATTCATTTTGACGTTTAATATATTTTTTTATTTGCCAATGTTTATCTTCATAACAACTTAGTAATGTCTTTTTCTTATTTTTTGAGTCTCATGTTACCATGATAGTTAATTGAGAAATATAGACTAGAGTGGAAGAACCTCAAAGTTCATGACCTGAAATTACTTTTCTAAAATTCCCATTGAAATTTTGTTTTCCTTTTTTGTAATTAAATCCCATTTTCGAGCTTTGTGCATTTCTTGAAAAAAGGTCTAGTGGACAGTTCTTTGAAATTAAGTGTAATTCATTAATAATAAAACTTTCGTGAATTTATTTAGAAATAGTTTATTTTACGAATTTGCTTCAAAATACCATTAAACTTAAATAACTATAAAACACAACTTCTAAGCATATATAAAGCTTAACTAAAATGACACCTTACATATAACATCTCGTAACCTTTCACATACCATACTTAAGAAAATTAAAATCTTGAACTGACGTACTTCTCAAGCTAATTTTTCCAATTTAAATATGACGATCATTCTCGAATAAGATGTCTAATCTTGAGATTTGATGAAAAGATGTAACTAGTAACTATATATGTTGTTAGCTCAACTTCACTTCCAACATAATGGAATCAATTGAAAGAATCTCTATTCACTCACAAGTATTGCTTTATAAATTTTAATCAACTTCAACCAACTCTAAAAGAGGTTATTAAAATTTAAATGTAATTTACCAAAATGCCCCTAAACTAATAAATATAATAATTTTATTACTGCTTAAGAAAATGACTAGAGAAATACATGATCAGCTCAACTTCTATTGGGAAGAGACACAAAAACGTTGCAGAGTCAAGACATTGCTGCACGATCAAGAAGTAATTGTAATGGGTGAGAGAACTACTCCTGCATCATACAGTGAACAAATGTAGGTGTTATATGATTCCCAAAGCTTGTAAAAGTTGTATGCTTACTCCAAAGTAACTCACAAATTTTGAGAATAGTAACAAAAAAATTAAATAAATAAATAAAATGGTAAGATTAAAACTGTTAAAGTTGACTTTGATAACGCCAAAATTATTGTTCTAGAATTTGTTTAAAGAGTATTATAATCTTGTTCTTTCAATTATCAAGGAATTGAAAATTAGTGGGAAACAAATTAAGAATTGAAGAGTTGAGAAAATTCTTCTTAGCATGATTTTAAAGTTTGAACAAATTGTAGTATAGTAATTAAAGAGTTATTGTCTACCCTTTATATCAATAACTAATGAGATCGTATCAAACTCACGTACGATTAAATAATCTTCACTCAACATCACAAAGTTCTAGCTTTATTAAAGAAATGAGGTGGTCGAAGAGCTAAAGGACAATGAAGAAATTTTTTTGTCTTGAAAAGTCTCTCGACAAACCTTTTTCAATGAAATCAATGCAAAGGCCAAGACCAAAGAAGATGTGGAAATTTCTATTTAAAAAAGAAAAAGAAAAATCAATGCTATAACCAGCGTTCTAAGAAGCGTAATACGTGGCGATGCGTGGAGGCTAAGCTATGGGCTAAGTGAGTTTAGGCGAGGCATAGACATAAAATACGTTTTCTTATTTTAATATTATTTTAATTTTTAATCAATCAAAAAATCATTTAATAATTAAAACTAAGACCCACCAAACATCTAAAATAGATTTATAGAAACTTTATACAATTTTTTTTTCAAAATTTCCAACAAAAGGATAAGTTTGAAATGTAAATACTAAATAGTAAATGGATAGGAGTTTTACTTTGTTCAAGGCTTCAAACGTTTTGAATCTAGGACAAAAGAAGTGAAAAAATCAATCTTTAAATTTTAAATTAAAAGAATTTAAAAAAAAAAATTAAAAAGAAGAAGATAAAAATGCGCACCTAGGTGGACATAATCACGTCTAAGCGTGCATTAGCGGTCAACAGTGACCGTTGACTACTAAATAAGGTGCCAAGCCACTTGGCTTGACATTTCCACCACGCATTTTCGTAGGCGGCGCTGCATTTTAGAACAATGGCTATAACTGTAGAAACTATGTGCATTTTCAAGCAAGAATTAATAAATAAAGAAGATTTTTTCTTGTTAGAGTACAACATATTAATTCATCTAATAGTCTACCAAAAATGCTTTCAATCATATTCCATAGCATTATCTTGAATATCTAGAATACCTTGAATGATATTGTAGCAAGTCTTATTAAAGTCATACCTCTTTTGTAGCAATTTTTTTTTTCTTTCCTTTTTTGAATGTTACTATCAAGTACTGTTTCTTTTTCTTTTCTTTTTTTTGGGGGGGGGGGGGGGGAGGGGGATGATATTACTAATTTATCGCCATAATTTTAGAATTTGTAGCATTCTCTTGATTGTAATGTTTACATTTTAATAACATTTTCTTTTCTTATAGTTAAGATTTTGTTTTCAATAACATTATGTCAATAACATTCTTTTTCCTTCAGAATTTTAATATTTATAGCATGCTTTGAATTAATATATACATTTATATAGCATACTTGATTGCATTGTTTTAAATAGCATTATCTTCGTGTTATGATTTCAGTATTTACATTATTTTTATTAAATTTTCAAATTTATATATACAATAGCATTCATTTTTGTCACGATTCCAAAGTTTATAACATTCTTTTACTGTTATACTTTCATAATTAATTGCATCAATCAATATTATAGATCATATTTATAAATATGTGACCTTGTAGAGTTAAATCAAGTAATATATTCAAAATTTGTGTATATAGTCTCGATTACTTATATGAACGACCATAATTATCGAAATGGAGTAATTTTGTCGTTCAAATAGATAAGTCTAGTTGTTTAAATAGAGAATTTTAGTTATATTCCATCTTCACATCAATTGCTAATAGTAATATAAGCATGTCTTGAAGTGATACAAATGAGTTGCGGATCCCTCTAAAGGGGTATCATAATTTATACAACATAAGTTGAATACAATTTGGATGGTAGATATATACATTACGCTAATATCTTTTACTAATTAATTAGAATTTGTGTTTACTATTTTTACAATTATATAATATATTTCTCTATGTTAATTTTCAAATTTGAATGCATCATTGCTCGGATGTCTTCCCTAAACAAGTTGCAATGGTTGAAGAATTTTTATTTTTATTTGAAGTATTACAATGAGATAATGCTAAATTAATTTGAGTATTTATGTTTGGCTCTCATTCATAAGCTATTTACAAATACTCAAATCAAATCATGTCAAAAGGATATCAAAGCTGACGGTGGTTTCAGTTTCCCAAATTTACCATCTTTATAGAAGAAGGAAATAGTTATATAATGTTCTAGTAGTGTTCCAAAGCCATCAAAATCCAATATATGAAAACATTTACTACAGACTGAATCTATTTTCAATAATGTTTTTTTTTTTTTTTTTTTTTTAAATCCATGTTCCCACGTACAATTTGTGCTTACATCCAGTTTTGGGAGCTTTCATTAGGATCAAAAACCTACTACACACATATAAGAACACAGTTTTCTGGAAAACAGTACAGTGACTATGTCTCATTAATAGTTGATGTATATTTTAGGAATTTTCTAGAAGATCCTAGAATTGCTTAGCAAGAATATTCTAGAATTGCTTGATAAGCAAGACTAATAAAAAGCAAAATTATCTAGAATTCCTTAGAAAAACTTGGGCACCAAGAAAGCTTGTGAGGTTTGTAGACACGTGTAGAATTATCTAGAAGAAATCATATGTAACTATGGTTTATAAATAGTGCATGAGTCTCTCATTTGTATATAAGCCTAAAAAGCCATTGTAAGCAAAAGTCATTGTTATTATAATAAAGTTCCTTTCTCCTACCTACTTTATCTAATAAGTTGACAGCTGCAGAATTAATGGGTTCACTAGAAGCACATAAAAAAAATTAGAAAGGCATTATGAGATTAACACTGAAAATGCATTCCAATCTAAAGTTAATATGCGGTTTTAGAAATCTAAAAAAGATGGGAGAAAATTGTAAAAATAAAGAAACTTAAGGAAAAGAATTCGATAAAAGCGATAAGTATCCTTTATGTGGTATAGGTAAAAGAAAAAGTCATTTGAAGGAGGACTGTTGGTTTAAAGGAAAATCACAGTGTTGTCACTGTAAAAGATTTGGTCACGTGTCGTTCTAAACAAAATCATCAAGCTAATTTCTCTGAAGAAAATGATAAAAAAATGAAGTTTATTTTGCGCCACTAGTAAGGATGTCCATGGTATCTAGACAGTGGTTGTAGTAATCATATGACGAAAGACGAAAGTATTTTCTGTAGTCTTGATAAAATCAAGGCAAAAATTAAGATTGACAATGAAAATTTTATAGAGGCGACAGGTAAAGGCTCTATTGCTGTTGACACAAAAAGGGCAAGAGATATATCAATGAAGTTCTCTTAGTCCCTACAATAGATCAAAATCTATTAAGTGTAGGTCAAATGATAGAGAAATGATATACATTATATTTTGAAGAAGATTCTTGCACGATCTATAATAAGAAAGATAAATCTCTTGTAATTGCAAAAGTCAAAAAACGAGAGAACGAATGCTTTCTAATCCAATGGAGATATGCAAACAGTGCGGCAATGATGGCACAAGTGGACGAGTCATGGATGTGGCACAAAAATTTTGGACATTTCCACTTCCATGGGTTAAAGATCCTGCAGCAAAAGAGCATGATGAGAGACTTACCAGTCATAAAAGAGATTGATGTAGTCTGCGAAGGATGTTTGCTCGGGAAACAAAACCGCTAACCATTTTCGTCAGAAAAATCTTGGAGAGCTAAAAAGCCATTAGAGCTAATACATATAGATGTATGCGGTCCGATGCGTACTCCATCACACGAGCAAAATAGGTATTTCATTCTTTTCATTGATGACTACACTAGAATGACATGAGTATATTTCTTGCGTGAAAAATCCCAAGTATTTGAGATTTTTAAAAGATTTAAAAGCTATGTTGAAAGGTAAAGTGGTTGCAATATCAAAACTATCAGAAGCAACAGAGGTAAAGAATATATATCAAATGAATTCAACAAGTTTTGTGAAGATCAAGGAATGGAGCATCAACTCACAGTTGGATACGCCCCTGAACAAAATAGCGTGTCAAAAAGAAAGATTAGAACATTAATGGAGACAGCTAGAGCTATGCTTATGAAGAAAAGTCTTCCAAAAACTTTTTAGGCAGAAGTTGTAAGCACTACAGTCTACCTACTAAATCGATGTCCGACTAAAGCTGTGCAAGACAAAACGCCAGTGGAAGCATGGAGCGGACGAAAACCATCAGCAAAGCATCCCAGAGTTTTTGGCTGCGTCTACTACTTACATATTCTACAGGAGAAAAGATGTAAACTAGATGGAAAAAAATAGAAAAATGAATCTTCTTAGGTTATAGTACTCAATCAAAAGGCTATCAAGTATATAACATAAGAACAAAGAAGTTGATTATAAGTTGAGATGTTAAGTTTGATGAAGATGCCACCTATAATTGAGAGACTAGTCAAGTCGAGAGAAAAGCTATCAGCATCTTTACACAACCAAAAAAGCAGGAGGGTGACGTTGAGGAGAACAATCAACTAGAGTCCCGACAGCAAGTAACAATAGAAGAATCAGTTGACTCATCAAAATCGTCACTAAGAAAGACACAAAGATTATCGAAAATATATCAAAGATGCAACTTGATGATCGTTGAACCTGAAAGCTATGAAGCAGCTTCAAAACAACCAGAATGGAGAAATCCTATGGATGAAGAAATAAAAACGATAGAGAAAAACAACACTTGGGATCTTGTAGATCTTCCTCAAGACAAAGAAGTCATAGGAGTTTAGTGGGTCTACAAGACAAAGCTCAATGCTGATGGCTCAATCCAAAAACATAAAGCAAGACTAGTTGCCAAAGGATACTCATAATATTTTGGCATCGACTACACTGAGACATTTACTCCAGTTGCACGACTTAACACTATAAGGGCGTTGATTGCACTAGCTGCACAAAAAAAGTGGAAGATTTACTAGTTAGACGTCAAATCAGCATTTCTTAATGGCTATCTTGAAGAAGAAATTTATATAGAGCAACCTCAAGGGTACGTGGTACGAGGAAAAGAAGATAAAGTTTTCAAACTAAAGAAGGCCTTATATGGACTAAAACAAGCTCCACGAGCGTGATATAGTAGAATAGACAATTACTTCACTAAGCAAGAATTCAGAAAGAGCCAAAGTGAACCAACTCTAGACATCAAAAATCAACGTACAAGCAGTACACTTATAATCTCTTTATATGTTGATGATCTCATCTATACAGGGAATGATGAAAAGATGATCGAGAAATTCAAGGAAGATATGATGAAAACATTCGAGCTGACTGATTTGGGATTAATGTACTATTTTCTTGGGATTGAGATAGCTCAATTTGTAGATGGGACTTCATTGCTCAGAAGAAGTATACCACTAGTCTATTAAAAAAGTTCAAGATGGAAGGTTGCGAAACAAGAGCAACACCTCTGGATAGCAACAAGTCACTTAAAAAAGAAGACGGTACTCCAAAAGCAGACAGTTCAAAATTTCAAAGCTTAATTGGAAGTTTACTCTATCTCACAGCTACAAGGCCAGACATAATGTATGCAACCAGCCTACTTTCAAGATTCATGCAAATTCCAGGTCAAGTTCACTATGGAGCCGCTAAGTGGATACTAAGATACCTCCAAGGAACAAAAGATTATGGAATAAGATATTAGTCTACGCCTAGCTCAAGACTACTTGGATATACTGATAGCGATTGGGCACGATCAATAGATGATATGAAGAGCACATCACGCTATGCATTCACACTAGGTTTCGGAATATTCTCTTGGGCATCAAAGAAACAGGCAACGATTGAATCATCAGCTGAAGCAGAGTATATTGCATCAGCAATGGCAGCGAGTCAAGTTATATGATTAAAGCGTATACTTGAAGACATAGGAGAACCACAAAATGAAGTGACGGAGATCTATTGGGATAGCAAGTCAGCAATAGCAATGGTCAAGAATCCCGTATTCCACAGCAGAGCCAAACACATTAACATCAAGTACCATTTCAACAGAGAAATTGAAGCAAATAAAGAGATAGAGCTCAAACATTGCAAGACTGGAGAACAATTAGTAGATATATTTACAAAGGCACTACCACGAGCAAAGTTCGAAATACTACAAGAAATGATTGGAGTTATCAAAATATGCATCAATGAAGAGTATTAATGGTTGATGAATATTTTAAGAATTTTCTAGAAGATCCTAGAATTGCTTAGCAAGAATATCTAGAATTGCTTGGCAAGTAAGACTAATAAAAATCAAAATTATCTAGAATTCCCTAGAGAAACTTGGGCACTAAGAAAGCTTGTGAGGTTTGTAGACACATATAGAGTTATTTAGAAGAAATCATATGTAAGCTATGGTCTATAAATAGGGCATGAGTGTCTCATTTATATGTAAGCTTAAAAAGCCATTGTAAGGAAAAGCCATTGTCATTATAATAAAGTTCCTTTCTCCTATCAACTTTGTTTATTAAATTACTTTCTATCAAAATCTGTCATACTACTAACTTCCAACAAAAAGCCAACTATTTTCTACCTCCAAAATTATCCTATACAAAACATATTAAACCATGTAACTCACCACTACAAGAAAAAACCATCATGTCTATAGACTTCATCATTGCAATACAGGATGACTATTAAATTTTTAGATTTGTATATAAACTGCAAATTCATGCATTCTATATAGGTTCATACTGGTAGTGTTTTCTTTGACAATTCAAAGAAGTATAAACTATGTTAAATACAGAAAAATATCGCAAGGCTATTTCTATTATTGTCATTCCCAATTTCTAAAAACGAAGAACAAATTTCAAATTCTATTTACTATCACATTATTCGAGACATTTTTTTTTTATGGGATTTGAGGAATTTTATAATTTGAGGCCAAAATTGGTGATAAGAAATAGTATTATGTTAACATAATAGGAGATATATAAGGTCTATGAAAATCGTGAAAATAGTTGGAACTGTATTTTGAATATAATCCAAGTTTCAAACATAATATTCCAAGTGTTGGGCAGATCTGGAAATAGGTAATGATGTTCGCTTCAGTAATGGAGTCTTTATGATAAAAAATCAGAATGACGAGCATCCTGGTGACATGAAGAGTGGCCTAAGATAACTCATGTCGAGGAAATTTTGCACGATAAGATAATCAGTTTTGAGTGGACCAACCTACTTGAAAGTAAAGTTCGTTGTTGCACAAGTCTTGCTTAAAAGGGAACATTAGAAATTAATCTAGACTTATGAACATGTATGCTTCAAAGAAAGATGCACTGAACATCAGTTTTCCAATAATTACCTACACTTGATCTTGAATAATCATCAATCTAGTTATGAGTAGAGTAGTGGATCTAGAGTTCATACACAATGTCTGATCACTGGCCTCAACAAGATTTTTCAATGAGAAAATGATAAAAGACCATTAACCAAAAGAAAACCATGAGTAGAACACAGCTTGACTCAAACATCAGGAAATGAATCACATAAGCTGATGTAACGCAAATTTAATTAAGAAAAACAAGATTGTACATGCTACTACTATATATTTCATAGTTTTAATATCAATATCAAATTACATGCATTTATGCAGGAGAACTGGAATCTAGAGTTCCCAAAGCTTGTGGCTCGGATTGAACTTTTACAAAGAAACATAAGGTATAAGTTATACTCATTAGAAGATAAATAATAATAAATAGTTATACTAATATGAGCAAAATGAAACTTTGGCTCCAATATTAAATTTATTCCAATTAAAACGGAGTATATGCATATTGTTTTGTAGCAACTATGTGGGAGAAGATTTGGATCCTCTCAGCTTGAGAGAGCTTCAGAGTTTGGAGCAACAACTTGATACTGCTCTGAAACGAATTAGAACAAGGAAGGTAACTTAGTTAACGTCCTTTCTTCTATATTTTCAAACATCTCGGTTTACTTTATAAGATTCATGGCAATATTAGTTATGTTTTCTCTGACATATACCGCAGAACCAACTGATGCACGAGTCCATTTCTGAACTTCAAAAAAAGGTAACAACTACGGTTCTTGTTTTATGGATTTGCATCCTTAGCTGCACAAGCATCTATATAACTAAAAACCCGCAATCCTAATTGAATCAATCCTAGTACCATCTTTTAACGTTAGTAACATATTTGTTTATGACAGAATTAGAGAAGCAAAAAGTTAAAATTTTGTCTGTCTAAATGTGTAAATTAATTTGAGAGTTGTATGCTTATTAATTTTGCTTTTTCCTAACATGTGAATATGATAAAAACGATTGTACTATAAAGTACTAATAAGTCTTCTCTAAGAACAGAAAAACCTTTTTCCCTCCTTGAAACATACCTAGGGTTTCTTTTCCTGTTGTCAGTTGCTGTACCCTTCTCCCACAGGAGAATTTAGGATGTTACCCTTTCTGATTCTGAACCATCTTAAAAATTGTTTGTATCTATTATTTGATTATATATGCTGCAACGATTTTCTGATCCGTCAAAACCAAAGAACATTGAAGCAATGCTTCTGTTGCTATATCTAAATATAATGAGTCTTGGCAATTGCTATTTCATAAATCAGGGGACTAAATCTAGAATAAACAGATAAAAATGAAAAAGATATCATACTTCTTGATCATATATATGACACAATTTAACAACCTACACACGGTTGCTCATGTATTAAGATTCATGTCATAAGATGTGGCATCATGGTTTACTCTCATTGTCAAACTTACAACAACCTTCCTCTTTTACACGGGTTTGGAGCCGACTAAGAAAATTGTTATTAGGATTCATGTGACCCTCAAAGTTCTACAAGGGTTTTGCTTTTCTGATTATCAGCCATCTTCTTCAAACTTCTTACATTTCCTGCTTCTATTCTTGATTATACTGCAACCATTTTCTGATTTGTGGAAAAGGACCTTCTCTTATTCTATCTAAAGATAACTGAGTCATCTACTAATTCTTTTTTCCTTTTTCCCTCATTGGAGAATAGCTGTTATGTTGAAGTGGATTAAAAAGGTATTTCACCAATGGGAATGGCATCAGGGAACTTACATCTCCTTGTTAAATATATTAGTTTTTATATTAAGGATAGATTAGTTATTTTATTTATCTGCTTGTAAGACTATTTAAGGTTTCCTTTTTCTTGTATTTTTATTCATTCAATCAATGAAGAAAAACTAGCCTCCCTTTTACTTCTCTCTCTATATTCTGCACTATCAATTAACATGGTATCAGAGCCACCATGACACAACAAGTTATTGATCTTTCAAACGAGATAGGGATTGCTATCGCCTCATTGCCAGTTATCTGCTGCCCTTTTTTTTCATGCAAAACCCACAATGCTCACAGTAAACAATTCTTGTCGGTTGCCATAGAAGAAAAAATTTTGTCGATTGCCATTAATTGTCTGCTGCCTTTTTTCTTTCTGTGTAAGGAATACATTGGGTAAACTTTGGAATTTGTTTGAATTGGATTGTGATTGGTTGTCTTGCTATTGGGTACTATTAATTAATTCTTGCAATGGTGAAAATTCTAGACTGAGGAGTATTTGTATGATTTGATGACAATGTGTTTTTTTGGAATATTGGATAAGTTAGAGAATAAATCAATAAGCAGCTCGTTTTTTGATTCACGTTAGTTTTTTGATTTGGTAATTATTTATTTATTTCGCAATGGCTAGAAGTCAAGATGATTCTCTTCAATTTATTAGTGTGCAATTAACATGGGACTTGGTATCTCTACCGCCAAGAAAACGAGCAATTAGTTCTCGATGGGTATATCAAATCAAAACTAAGTCAAAATGATCTGTTGAAAGATATAAAGCTCAATTAGTTTCCAAGGGATATTCATAGAAGTATGATATGGATTACGAGGAGACTTTTGCACATGTTGCAAAAATTGTTGAAAATTTACTTATCATGCGCAGCAGAAATTAACAGCAGAAATTAAAACAGATTTCAATACTCACCAAAAATCTACTTTGTGTTTAGATATAAACTATGATAGAAATTATACCTTTCTTGGATTCTGCAAAATCCTTTGCTATTATCTCTTTGATTCTGCAAACTCTTTTACTATTCTTTCGATCCAACAATCTTGATTTGCCACCCACAACTGTCCAATTATCCAGCCTCCAATGAAAATACACAAAAAGAACAAGATTGTAGGAACCAGCGTTTTCTCATCTTGTGCTAACAAGAAAATAAAATTCTCTACAAAATGCAAACCCTAACTATTTATTTATATAAGTCCAAACGGGTTTGGCCTGACTCAATCCAATATTTAATTAACATATTTAATTAAATTCGGTCCATCCAATTAATTAATTGGGACCTATATATAAGCAACCTTATTAATTAATTTGTCCAATGCTTTCTTGATTCATTAATTGACAAATGACAATATTTCAGTTTTCCTTTTGTGTGCAACCCATCAAGTACCCAATCACGATACCTAACAATGTGAATTATTATTTTGATTTAATCAAAATCGATAAATTAAAATAAGTTTTTAATTTATCACCAACCCAAGTTTGCCGTCCCAAATTGACATCTAGCAATGTGTCAAGACAACACATGTGACGAAAAAATATCACGTGGCATTACAAAATCAAACTCGTTCATTTACCGTGAAACTATAATTCCACTACCGAACGTTATAGATTAACTACTGACATTCAAATAGTTATCCATGTGAAATCTCTTAAAGTGTCTCAATATTTTATTCTATAACAAAACATTTACGTGTTCATTCAAGTGTCACCACGTTTTAACTTGTGGGATCAGCTACTTACTTCACAAGTAAGAAATGTCACACGTTATGGTCTACCCGTAATCACAATATCTGTATCTCGTTATTACTTACGATCACAGATGATTTAAGATTCAATCATATGTAATTTATCTTACAATCACAACTCCTTGTAATTAACAAATTAACAAGACTTGAATCCACAGACTCTATTATTTGATATTATTCATCGGAGTATGGATTTAAATAAATAATAGACCTTGCCAAAAATAAATGCATCGAACATATTAAAAGTGTTTACACCCAAAATCGATTGGACATAGGGCATAACACTTGCAAAAATGACTACTGTTCCCACCTTTATTGCAGTTGTTTCCGTTCGTCGATAGAGTATCTCTAAGATGGATGTTAAAAATATTTTTTTGAATGGAGATCTACAAGGAGAAGTCTATATGGTTCCCCCTCCGAGTGTTTCTCATCAACTTGATGAAGTTTGCAAACTTCGAAAAGCTCTCTATGATCTCAAATAGGCACCACAAGTTTGGTTTGAGAAGTTTTCTACTGTGATTACTTCACTTGGTTTTCGTCCTAGCCATCATAATTCAGCTTTATTTCACAAATATGCATCCACTGGACACATTTTGCTCTGTATATGTTGATGACATGATTATCACTGGTGATGATACTGATGGGATTGCAGCACTAAAGTCAGAGTTAGCTCATTGTTTTACAATGAAAGATTTAGGTCCACTCCTCTGTTTTTTTGTGTATTGAAGTTACATCCTCTCCAAAAGGTTATCTTCTATCTCAATCTAAGCATATAGCTGATATACTCGAGCGTGCTCATCTTACCAATAATAAGACTGTTGATACACCTCTTGAGCTTAATTCTTGATATTCTTCTTCTAATAGTTCTCCATTATCAGATCCTAGTTTATATTATACTAATGTTGGTAGTTTGGTTTATCTCATAATCACTCGTCCAGATATTGCACATGTTATCGATATAGTTAGTTTGTTTGTTATCTCGCCCACCACAGTTCATTGGGCTACTGTTCTTTGTATAAATATCTTCGAGGTACTCAGTTTCAGAGTCTTTTACTTTCCTCTACTTCATTAGAATTACGAGCATATTCTAATGCTGATTTGCGTAGTGACTCTACAGATCATCGGTCTACCACTGGCTTCTATATCTTTCTTGGTGAATCTCTTATTTCTTCGAAGAGCAAGAAACAAGAAACTGTTTCTCAATCTTCCACAGAAGCAAGAGTATCGTGCCATGGCTTCTATTACTTGTGAGATAGTTTGGTTACGTTGGTTGTTTGCAGATATGAGTATATTTCTCCGTCGTCCTACTCCATTGTATTGTGACAATAAGAGCGCTATTCAAATTGTGCACAATTCAATATTTCATGAGAGGACTAAACATATTGAGATTGATTGTCACGTGACTCGATATCATTATCAACTTGGCACTATAACGTTACCTTATGTTTCTTCTACTGTGCAGATTGCTGACTTATTAACAAAGTCACATTCCTCTTCGCGATTTCGTTTTCTGTTTGGCAAACTCTCAATGCTTCTTGCAGCAACATCATGAGTTTGAGGGGAGATGTTAAATATATTAGTTTTTATATTAATGGTAGATTAGTCATTTTATTTATCTACTTGTAAGACTATTTAATGTTTCCTTATCAATGAAGAAAACCTAGCCTCCCTTTCACTTTTCTCTCTATATTCTGCACTATCAATTAACATCCTTATATATCCATTTCTGATGCTATAGCCCGTAGAGTCCTCAAATCATGGAAAAGTTTATTAGTGAAAGCAAACTTGTGTTGTAGAAGGGTCCAATGATATGATTTATAAAAGAAGGCTTGCAGTAAAGAAGGCTGTATTTTGTAATTTTAAATTCTATCTACTTAATTCGGGAAATAACAATTATATGTATCCTATTGCTGGCAGGAGAAATCATTGCAGGCGCAGAACAACTTATTGGTAAAGAAGGTATATTGGAAATTATTTCCTTTCTTGTATGAGAAACTGAAATTACTGCACTGCACTGATTTGTTGCTTTTAACTAGCAGGTGAAGGAAAAGGAGAAGCAAAATGGAGTGGAACACACGCAGCAGCAGGAGCAGGAGCAGGAGCAGGAGCAACACAAGTTTGCTCAAAATTCATCCAATTTCGTATTTCCTCACTCTCTCTCACGATCACTAGGGCCTCCATCTCTCACTATTGGGTATCCTCTCTCTCTCTCTCTCCCTCTCCCGACACTTCAGCTCCTGGCAACGGCCCTAACTCTTTAAGCTGCAAGCCTCACACCATCTCTATTAAAACAATATTTTGAATAATAATTTTTAGGAGAGTGTGTGATTAGAAAATAGGGAAATATTTGTTTGCGTGCAAAATATTTTAATATGTGAATGTGTGGATCAACATAAGTATGCAGAAAAAATAGTTTTCAAATAATGATTTTCAAACAAGAACTAAATATGTTCTCACGAGTTTCTTCAAAAGGAATGAATATTTTCTCTCGTCAACCCTTTCATTTCAAATTACTGAATTTAAAAAGATGTGAAAGTGTGTTTATCTCTCTATAAGAATGCTGAAATCCTGATAGGAAGAGAACAATTTGGATAGTGACTCATGTGAAAGTGTGTTTACCTCTATTAGAAGACATGTTAGGAAGACGACAATTTGAATAGTAACTTAGGAGATTTTTTTTGAAGTGAAAGAGTCTAAATTTGTTACGATAAAACGAGCGAGATCTATACTAATTTACGAAAGACGGCATAAATATTCCAATTTGGATTTTGCAGGGGCGCCTTTGAGCAAGCAGTAGCTCAAAATGAACAAGTCGGCGGATATCAAACTATCCCTCATTCTACTTCCCTGATGCCGCATTGGCTCCTCCGCCACGCTAACCAATAAGAAATTTTCCGGCCACCAGAGATCGGAAATTTTAGATGACAACCATGAATGACTAGCATGCCAAATATCGAATCTGCATAAAAGGGGTAATTGCAATGTTGAACAGTTTCCATGTGCTCAAATCTATAGTGTGTTTTATTACTTCAGTAATCTTGAAATTAAAATGTACCAAAGCTCTTTTAATATCGTATCGTGCAACACCATGTAATAATATTTTCTTGTCTCGACAACTTAATTCCTATGTAAACTTATACACGTGTAAAATAATTTAATTGTAGTAATTCAATCATGACTGCAAAAACTATAAAAGTACATTTTAATTTCTTATCTAATTCAATATTACTTATTGCACAAACTAGACAAACATATCTCCTTCGGATCTCATTATTATATTTAAATCAAACAATTAGGTATCAAACAACTGGATGTATTAGGTCTAAAATCATCCCCAAAGTTAATAGGAGTCGAAGTTTTAATCAAAATAGGAATTTGGGAATCTGTCGCTTGGGACACCACACGACCTGCATTACCGTTAATACAATCGCGATCGCACCATTTGAAAGTTTTGGGTACTGGTCGTACTGAGTTCCTTCTTGCGATCGCAATGGCCGACAAGTTTCCATGGAGTCCATCTAGTCCCTAGCTCCCATATTGTGTTCATCCAAAGTCCTTCATTAATTTCATGGTAGGTCCTTCCACCTCTAAACGTGACACTTTGGTCCCCAACTTCCAGAATTCGTCCAACTCTCATCCCCCCCCCCCCCCCCCTCTCTCCAAATAGGCTGGAATTAGTAAACGAGGCAGGAACGAAGAACCTGATCCCATGCTGAATCTATTTATTTTATTATGTTTTTTTATTTTTCAATTTAAATCATATTTTTAAAAAATTTAAACTAGATAAAAAAAAATTTATTAAATTTTTTTAGCCATTCAGCAAAATTTAACCAAGCTAATAAAGACCGGCCATGTACCTTTGGCATTTCTTCTGCTCACATTTAGCATATATTTGAGCACATTTTCAACCACATATTCTATAGGACCCACAATTTTTTTATCACTTTTTTAACTATTTATTTCATTAACTTTTATTAAAATCTATTAAAAATCTAATTTTTATCTAAATCATACGAAGCTTCATGTCAAATTGGTAGCCTAGCCCGGACAGGAAGAAAATGGCAAGATTCGTAATAAAGTTGATAGCTACAAGTTTTATTTATATATAAGAATGTCAAACTTTCCATGAGATCTACAGAAAATGTCGACAGTACAAGACACTTTTTAATGCACAAGAACCCTCAATTACAGTTTTCTCATGCTGAATAATTGCAATATGGAAATGTTACAGTGAAACAATGGTGACTCTTATCTGTCAATGCCTTCAGACACCAATTTCATCATCACAGTTGCAATCTCCACCATCAAGCAAATGCTTCCTGCAAAAGCAAATAAAAAGTCTCACCTGGATTTCTTACTATAAAAGTTGAGAAATGAGAGAGAAGAACGGTGAATGATAACTGATGAGAATTCCTATGATGCAGGTACTTCGATTAACACGTCTCGGTACTATTAAGCTACTGAGCGGTTCAATAACACTATCATTATATTCTTGGGCCTATACACTCATTTGCTCCCTAGTCCCTTGGATAATGTAACTGTTTGTTTATAGTCAAAACTTTAAAGCCTGTAATAGTCGTTTGCAGGTCAAGTCGTGCCCCACTCCTGAAGTTGTAAACTTCCAATCCTCATGATGTTTTGGGTAACGTGAACACACTCTAGAACATGTTAATGAATTTGACATCAAGAGATTTCTAACTATAATAAAATCCATAAAAGAATAGAGAAATTTTCAAAATGAATAAATGCCTTGTGCAATAACCAAGGCCAGTCACAATTTTGAAGATGATAAAATTGTTCATTACAAGCAAAACGCAAATTCATTGTAATATCATGGGTACTGTGGCCATTTTTAAAACCATATAATATATTACATATATTTATACATGAAAATAAGCATGCTCCAAATAAACATGATATTACCTTAATCTTCCACAAAGGCGTGCTAAAGCATCTGAACCAGTTCTCGATGCAACATCCTCAATCACTGAAGCATTTGACAGAGTCACAGTGTCTGCTAGCCTAAACTCGCATAATTCTTTTAAGGAACATGCATCCGTTAATACTGCTGAGTGGCCACCTCCAGCAGCCAATTTCCGGACTTCTCCTACACACCTACATGAAAAGGCTGTCATCAGCATACTTCCTCGTTCATAAGAACATGTTTGGCTAAGACTCAGAAAAAGGAGAAGCAGTAATATGTAACTTTTAAGCTTAGGCAACCATATGCACAAGCTTAAAAGTTACTTTTAAGTAACATTTTTACAAACCTTAATAAAATTATTTATTTACTTCTCTTTACATATTTAGTTTTCGGGGGCTTTAGCCAATCACACTCTTACTCGGAAAAAAATTGAAGTAATGACTTTCCATATCATACCAATCAACCGGGGAAGGATACCAAGCATATGTTGATTTCTCATTAGCAGCCTGACCATAACTATTGTAACCCCACCCATGAATTCTTCCATCTTTGGTAGAAATGAGCGTGTGACAATGCCCACAGGCAACAAGTTGCACACCACTTGGGATCACCAAAACAGGTATATTGCGAAGCATCATTTCAGATTCATTTGGAGTGCACGAAAAAAATCCAGTTTGAGGCCCAAGTCCCAACTGCCCAGCCTGGCCTCCACCCCAAGCATATAGGGCCCCCTTATCAGTCACAGCACACGTGTGCACCCCCCCACATGCAATAAGATTAACAAATGTTCCATCAAGGGAAACTACACGCCTAGGCAACAGTTCCTTGTCACCAGATTGAAGTGAACAATGCCCAAGTTGACCCATGCTTCCAAGTCCCCAAGTATAGCTGTGAAATAAAAACAATCATTTCAAATGATCAAGAGGATTACCTGAGGCAACAACTCAAATTTGAAATCATGTTTTTCCAAAGGGAGCAAATTACACAGTAACTTGATGATAAGAATCAATTAATGGCTTACCATGATTGTCTACAAGAATATTTAATGTTGAAAGAGAAGAGCGTGTTTCCAGAGTATCTAGCTTATAACCTATATGATTGTGCTACAGTTCTTCAAAGAAAAATAAAAAATTCCAGGCAAAACATATCGACATTTATGCAATGCTTTCCTATATCAATTTTCTTCTTCTAATACAACTAATAGACAACTCAAGGTTGTGGAATTTTATATTGGATAGCAACTTCCAATAACTTCACTCATGCCATGTGGAGAACCACTATCATCATGCTTAACAAAATGACTTATGTCCAAAAAAGGTCCTTCGGAACACTTACACCTCGCCTTCCTCAGATATGGCTGCTGTGTGGTACTCCCCACATGACACTTGGGTAATCTTCACAAGCTCGGGGGCTTCATCAAGGAACCTAGCATAACCATTAATAACACGAGCCCCCTGAAGGCCTTCACTGGTAATACCTCTGCCAAGCTGGCCATACTCATTATAGCCTGATTTAGCAGAACATTAACACCACTCTAATTAATAAATCTTGAAACACTAATGGTTTGAACAGTTACATTTTGATTCATACAGTTCTAGTATTAGTAAGATATAGACATTAAGGATGACAAAGATGAAAAGGTCCTGTGCATTTATGCATACACATGTAAACCTAGCATCAAACCAAACAAATGCATAGAAGATATATACCTCAGAAGCATAGAATAATCAAGAATATTTAGTATGGTAATAGTATGTAAGAATCTAGAAAACATTACCCCATGCTTGTAGCAAGCCATCTTCTGACAGAGCAACCACGTGAACAGCCCCACAAGAAACTTGGCGAATAACCTGGATCGACAAAATTGTACAATAAAAACATGAACAATATGAGAAAAAAATATATTGACAGCAGGCAAACAACAATGAGCTAAGTGAATATGGGGGCAGAAGCATATATAATTTTTTCACAACTCTGTTCAATTTCGAGCTACATCTATTTGAAATTAGAATAAAATCAAATTTCTTGTACACGTCGGGCCATGTCAATTTTGATCCACCTCTCATTTGCTCTTTTCAATGGGTTGCTTGATCTAAGCATAACATGGCATCGCCACTTGTCCCATCTTTAATTTATATCTATTAGTCAAATCCCCACTTGTTTGCGTAAATCTCATTTCTTACTTTATTCATTCTAACATAATCTTAACACTCCCATTTATCATACTTTCTTCCAACAAACATTTTATCATGACGCAATCCACCAACCAGTCAAACCTTTGAGTTGAACTTGTCTTTTAGTTTAGTAATGAAAGTCTAGAAAAACAGATGATAATTAATGGCTAACTGTTGATCTAATAATGATAATCTTCTAAGGATCGCAAGATAACTTGTTCAAACCAATGGCAAGTCACACATATACATCATATAGTTGAAAATACTATCATGTTCTGAGAAGCACTTGGACTGTGTACATTTTCATCACAAGATACAAGCATAAAGATCCAAAAGGAGAATCTCACTTAGAAGAATAGATCTGATTGGGAAACAAATAATACAAACTATTAAATTATTCAGCCTACAAGTGGCCTATATTATCTATGAAATTGATGCATATCTTATGCATGAGTGTAAGAAATATCCTCATAACTTAATAGGCAGAGATTAATACCGTATTTGGAGTAAAGGCTCCCCAATATAAGCGTGGATAATCAGAACCCTGTGAAGAAAAAAAGAAGGATAATGATCAAGAGATTTAAAAAAAGAAAAAGAAAAAGGAATAGCTCTAGAGGAATTACAAGTGTACTTGGGGATCATTAAAAATTTATAATTACTCCTGATGAGGAAATTTAATTCATGTACATTGCTTGGTTAAAGAGAAAATTTCAGCGCTTTCTTTTATATAATTTTTATTGTATGCTGACAATACTATTTATGGCCACTGACCATTGTAATCAAGAACAATATCACATCTGTAACTTTTTAAGCTATAAAAGCTTTATTGCTTATAGGATTTTTGCAAAATTGCAAATGTGATATTTTGATAACCCTAAAAGGAAAAGAGCCTGACTAGTAAAGAAGAATGACAGTGTCAAGACCAGAAAAATAAAATTCATTGGACACCTACTGAAAGATAACCAAAAGGTCAGAAGCTGAAATTTAAGTTATAACTTAGTAATACACTTGTCTTGTTTCTCTCTTCAGCATTAAATGTAGGTCACCGACTGATTGAGAAATTTACTTTAAGAAAATCAGAGAACGATGGACACTCGTCGGAAAATGGAGACAAGCCTTTGTTGATCTTCCGCTAAAATTTGGAAAGGCAAAAAATGGTTTTTAGAATGTGAAGGGATCATTTAGTAAGCTTGAGCTAGCTTTAATTTAACTGCGATCCAACAAGAGGAATTGTGATAGGATGCTAAGGTTCAAATAGATTTTTGTATTTACAATAAGATATCTCTGGTTTGCTCTATAATTGGATACTGTAAATATAGATGTCTTTGCAGTGATCAAAATATTTGTATAGAATGAAATAGAACAAAAACTCAGTCTAACAAACCTGGTTTTGTCCCCAAATCCAGAGTCTCCTTGTCGATATAGTTCCATCATTTTCACGTGGTTCTGCAATTGCTGCAGTACAATGTGCCCCACAAGATACAGAGATCACGAATTCAGACTGCAACTGCTTCACTTTCTTCGGGTTTTTTCTAGCCTTTTCGGTCCCATCCCCCAGCTGACCAAAATCATTAGCCCCTGTTTAGAAGCATACAAGCACAGGTTCCTAAAATATTAAAGCCACTAGCAAGAAAACAAGAACAATATCGAGGAAAAGAAGCAGGTCATCAAGCCAAACTATATGACTGAATAGATCCTAGACCATCTATTGTCGGTACTCATTTTATATTTTTCATCATAGAGTTTCTGCCAATAAGGTGTAGTAAACTGAATTTCCAAGATAACAAAGCAGAAAAAAGAATGGTGCATGTAATACTGATAACAAATATAATCACATGACAGGCAATTGCAACTCATTTTTTATGTCCAATCCATTTTTCACATGTTACTTTCTACTATTTGCCTTTCTTCCACCCACTTATACAATTTCGTGCACAATTTAAAACTTGTTAGAGCCCCCAATTATTCAATTAACTAAAATACCACTACAGCGAATAGGAAGAAAAGAAAACATAGAAATACTAGCTAATTCGAAATTTTTTAAAAATATATGAAAATTAGTAAATTAAATTAGGTTAAAAATTCAAAATCTTGAAAAATATGCATAGCGAATACTAAGAAAATGACAACACAATTTTTCAAAAATAATTTCAAAGAAGGGATGTTACTTTACACACCCCAGGTGAAGAGCGAGCCATCGGAGGCGACGGCGGAAGTGTGCTCACGGCCACAAGCAATGTCAAGCCACCGGGAATTTCCGCCGGCGGGACAACCAAACAGCTCTGGCGGAAGCTGTCTCGGGACCCTCAAGTTGTGCTCTTTGCCCCTTCGACCCGTTTGACCCGATTGGTTATATCCCCACACGTAGATTGCGCTCTTCGTGGGGACGTTTTCCCGCCGTGAATCCCCAAATATCTCGTCGATCTCCATCTCTCTTTATTTCTTATTATCAATACCACCAATTCAAGAAGAAATCACAGAGCCAATGTAGGAAACGGATAAATAACTGTTACTGGAATGAATTTGGGGAATGGGAAATGAGAAATTAATAAAGTTACTTGTTACCTGCGAAGAATTTTTAGCTTAATTTTCGAGGGAAATTGTGTTGTTTAAGTTCCGAACACCTTGGGGATGAAGGGCCACTTGCCTCGAACCGGGCTGCCCGACCGACTGCCCGTGTTGACCGTAACCCTCCGATATTTAGACAATTAATGAGGATAAATTATGAATTTCACGTGAAATCTCACAGCCCTCGTAGTCAAAAGTCAGTTCCTTGTGGCATGAGGAAATTAAGCTCAATTCTTCGCCGGTAAATAAGCCGTTGTTCGAGCCACGTTATTTTGATAAGAATGTATTTTTAAATAATATATTGATAAAAAATATGTAATTAAAAAATAAAAAAAATTTTTGAATTTACATATAATATTATTTTATTAAAAAATATGTGGTTAAAATGATGCCAAATTTCTATTTAAGAATATATTTTTTGAAAGAATGTGGATCAAACAGAGCCTAATTTTGTGTGCTAAGTTAATTAGCCTTGGAAATTAAAATCAAATTTTTAGTAAATTTTGATAAAAGTTAATGAGATATGTAGTTGAAAAGTTACAAGTTTCATAAAATATATATGATTTAGATCAATTATTGACTTTGACTTAGCCCTTATTTGAGTCTCATTTTTGTCATAAAAATGTATTTTTGAATAGTGTATTAATGTGAATTGTATAATTAAAAAATAAATAAAAATTTTGAATTTGCGTGTAATATCATTTTATCAAAAATGTGTATTTGAAATAATGTCAAAATAATATTTAAGAAAGTTTTTTTTTTTTTTTTAAATGAGGCTCAAACAAGGGTTTAAATTAAAATCTGAATTTTAATTTCTATCCAGCAGAGGTTTAATTTATGTACAAAGTCAACTCCTTATAGATTAAATAAAGGGAGAGTTGGTTACAGGGCCTAGTCAAGCAATGTATTTGGTTAATTATCTCTCTCTTAATGTCCCTCTCTTAATGTTTCTTGGTCAAATGGCCTCCAATTATGAAATACAATAAACAAACAATGTCAAATGTCATAAATATCTCCACCATGGAAAAAGACTCTAACACCCACATCAATCCAATTAATTCCCAAATTCAAGTTTAGGTTTTCAAATCACAATTACGTGTTTTTTCATCATCAACTGTCATACTTGCTACTCTAAAATTTTCTTATCTATTATATTCTTCACCTATTTTGAGTATCTTTTGAGCATTTGAACAAGATTTTGATAAGCATACTATCTACATTGAAAATTTTCATTACATTTGAAGAAAGAAGACAGATACTTTTAGAAATTTCATGTATATTGCACATTTTTATTGAATAATATTTTAGTTCGTATTATTTATTGTATTGTCTGCAGCTATAGGATGATAATGGTGCTCCAACTGTTATCTGATAAATAGAACAACACTCTAGCCATTTTTTGCTACGAAAAACAACACTACCGTTGTTATTTACTGTAGTTTGGGTTTTCAATGAAAAGATCTCTAATAATGGACTATCTTATTTAACATATAAATGTTGATCATGTCACAAAAAATGGTTGAAAACGATATGTTTGATATGTTATCGAGTTGGTGAAAATACAAATACAATATATACAAAATAATAAATAAGCAATTAAAGTAATAAATAGGCAATATCTCTCTCAAATTTTGTAAGAGGCATGTCATCTTGCAACTTAAATAAGTTTAACTTATCGATTATCGAGGGCACGGACGAGCTGTGGTTATTTATACTCGCGTATATAGACATAACGACACAAGTGTGTTTCATTATCAGTAACGACACTTGTGCTGTTCTATTGAATTCTTCAATATTTTTCTTATTTTTTATCGCAACAACCTGAAACATTGGATTATATAACTTAAGAAAGTCAGAAATGTTGATCACGTGACAAAAAAGTTGAATTGACATGGATTATAAGATATCGAGTTGGTGAAATTACTAATCATTGTAATGATTCGTTAGAAAATATAATTAATTAGCATATCTCTCAATTTTTGTAAACGGTATGTCCATCTTACAACTAAAATGAGTTCAACTTATTAGTTTTCAAAGAATAATTGTGTCGTGACTGCATATACTAGTGTTTATAGATAAACAACACAAGTGTCGTTTAACAGCTCTTGTGCTGTTCTGTTGATTTCTCTAATAATTTGCTTATTTTTCAACGTAATTATCTCAAACACTAGATCCTCTAACTTAAGAAAGATAAAAAGGTTGACCACATTACAAGAATGGTTGATATGACATAGATTATACGATATCGAGGTGGTGAAATCATAAGTCATTGTATTAATTCATTAGAAAATATAATTAATAAGCACATCTCACAACTTTTGTAAACGGAATGCCCATCTTTCAACTTAAATGAATTCAATTTATTGGTTCTCGAGGCATGGATGGGTCTTGGGTGCGTATACTTGTGTTTATAGACAGAACGACACAAGTGTCGTTTAACGGCTCTTAAGTCATTCTGTTGATTTCTCAAATATTTTGCTTATTTTCCAACGCAATGACCTCAAACCTTGGATCCTCTAACTTTAAAAAGTCAGAAAGGTTGATCATGTGACAAAAGAAATTGACATAGATTATACTATATCGAGTCGGTGAAATCACAAGTCGTTGTATTGATTCGTTAGAAAATATAATTAATGAGCAGATCTCATAGCTTTTGTAAATGGAATGCCCATCTTTTAACTTAAATGGGTTCAATTTATTGATTCTCGAGGCATGGATGAGTCATGACAGTGTATACTTGTGTTTATAGACAGAACGGCAGAAGTGTCGTTTAACGGCTGTTGTGTCGTTTTGTTGATTTCGCAAATATTTTGCTTATTTTCTAACGCAACGACCTCAAACTTTGGATCACCTAACTTAAGAAAGTAAGAAAGATTGATCACGTGACAAAAAACGATTGAATTGACATAGGTTATACGATATCGAGTTGGTGAAATCATAAGCTATTGTATTGAATCGTTAGAAAATATAATTCATGAGCACATTTCTCAATTTTTGTAAACAACATGCCTATCTTTTTACTGAAATTAGTTCAACTTATTGGTTCTTAGGGTATGGATGGGTCGTGGCTGCATATACTCATGTTTATAGACAGAACGACACAAGAGACGTTTAACGGCACTTTTGTCGTTCTGATGATTTCTCTGATATTTTACATATTTTCCACCGCAACGACCTCAAGCATTGAACCCCTAATTTAAGAAAATCATAAATGCTGATCATGTGACAAATAATAGTAGAATTCACATAGATTATACGATATAGAGTGGAGAACTTACAAGTCGTTATCTACATTCGCTGGAAAATATAATTAATGAGCACATCTCCTAAACTTTGTACACGACGTGTCCATCTTACAACTTAAATGAGTTCAAATCATCGATTATCGGGGACCAGACGGGTCGTGGCTCCTCATACTAGTGTTTAAAGACAGAACGACACAAGTGACGTTTAACGACACTTGTGCTGTTCCTATTATTTTTCCGATATTTTGTATCTTTTCTACTACAACGACCTCAAGCTTAGGACTCTCTAACTTAAGAAAGTCAGAAATATTGACCATGTGACAAATAACGGTAGAATTCACATAGATTATACAATATAGAATTGGAGAAATCACAAGTCGTTATCTACATTCATTAGAAAATATAGTTAATGAGCACATCTCTCAAACTTCGTACACGACGTGTCCATCTTGCAACTGAAATGAACTCAAATCATCGATTATCGAGGATAGGGCAGGTTGTGGTGGCTCACATTAGTGTTTGAAGACAAAACGACACAAGTGACGTTTAACAACACTTGTATCGTTTCGATGATTTTTTCAATATTTTGCATCTTTTCCACTACAGCGACCTCAAATATTGGACCCCCCAACTTAAGAAAGTTAGAAATGTTGACCATGTGACAAATAACGGTAGAATTCACATAAATTATACGATATAAAGTTGAAGAAATCACAAGTTGTTATCTACATTCATTAGAAAATATAATTAATGAGTACATCTCTCAGACTTTGTACACGACGTGTCCATCTTGCAATTGAAATAAGCTTAAATCATAGATAATCGAGGATAGGATGGGTCATGACTATGTATACTCGTATTTATGGACAGAACGACACAAGTGTCGTTTAACAAATTTCTCAAATATTTTGCTTCTTTTTCAATGCAGCGACCTCAAACATAGATCCCCTAACTTAAGAAAGTTAGGAAGGTAGATCACATGACAAAGAACAGTTGAATTGACAAAGATTATACAACATTGAGTTGGTGAAATCACAAGTCATTATATTGATTCGTTAGAAAATATAATCAATAAGCACATCTCTCACCTTTTATAAACGGAATATTTATATTGCAATTGAAATGAGTTCAACTTATTGATTCTCGGGGCATGGACGGGTCATGGCTACATATACTCGTGTTTATAGACAGAACGATACAAGCGTCATTTAACAGCTCTTCTGTCATTATGTTGATTTCTCAAATTTTGCTTCTTTTTCAACGTAGCGACCTCAAACATGGATCCCTTAACTTAAAAAAGTTAGAAATGTTGATCACATAACAAAAAATGGTTGAATTAACATAAGTTATACGATATCGAGTTAGTAAAATCATAAGTCATTGCATTGATACGCAGAAATAATAATTAATGAGCACATCTCTCAATTTTTGTAAACGACATATCCATTTTGCAACTGAAATGTGCTTTGAGGTTATCTATATTCGTGTTTATAGATAGAATGACACAAGTGTAGTTTTCTTTAAGTAACAGCACAAGTGTTGTTCTCATGAAGAAATTATATTTCGATAGCAGCACTTGTGTCGTTCTTTAGAACTTTTCATTTCAATACCGTCAGAAGTGTCGTTCTTAATGACATTTTCATCCTCTAAACGGCACTTGTTCGGTTGTTCCGTTCTTTTAGAACTTTTCATTTTAATAACAGCACAAGTATCGTTCTCAATGATCTTTCATCCTCAAACATTGGATCTGTAAAAGATGCGAGAAAAATTAATCACGTGACAAAGAACGATTGAAATGATGTAAAATTATTTGATATAAAGATGTTTAAAGTACAAGTGATTCTATT